TTCAGGCTCAGTATTCCAAAAGTAATCATCAATCTTGATGTTGAGTGTTTTAGAGATTTTGTTAAGTTTCATTCCAATATAATTCACTGGGAAAAGGAAAATATCATAAAAATGTCTAAACATTTAAATAATGAAACTATAGGACTAGACGAGTGAATGGATGGATGCATAGACGGACAGATGGATGGGTAGATGAGAGGTCTCATTTCAAGTCTATTTTCCACTTCATACACCAAAACTGACTCCAAAATCCTAAACCCTTAATGTGACTTTAACATACTTAAAGTTACAAACTCATGATTTGCCTCATTAAAGACTGCCTTCTTTTATAATCCATGCAAAACAAGACAAATGAGCACCAGCAGGCTTTTTATTTCTTAGTAGATAAATGAACTCTGGGTGGAATTCCTGTGGCTCTCAAAGATGAACCACATCAAACCAGTAAAAGATGACAGACCGCCACACAACGTGAAGGGAAATGAGAGGTTCACTGGAAACAGTGACCTTCAATTGAACTCACAATGAAGAATGTTTACAAACTAAAAAAAAGGAGAATTTACTCAATGTTAGCAGTTGCTTGACGGAAAAGGGGACTATGTTTTAATCAATAAAGTTAAAAATGCAAGTCATATCATTATTCAACTAAAACATATGAAATGTTAATAGAACTGGCAATAATTTTTGGCTTTCTTAAAGACATAGAAGACCTGCTAGATGTATTTCTATTTGCACATGCACACACACACACACATACACACACACGAGTTTGTAATGGTCTTCTCCATTATTTGAGGAAAAATTTTTTATTTTTTTCTTAAAAAATCTAAAAAATCACAGTTACCTATAAGATAAAGAAAACTGAAGAAAGATAAAAGGAATTTTCATTGCTTTTCTTATATGTCATCAGAATTTGTTTTTAAATGAAGTCTCTAAAAACAGAAAATGTAATAGCTAACTGCCCATGGGGAAAATTCTGCTATTTGTAAAAGAGTAGAAAGTTGGGGCTATTCTTAGCTTGACAAACAAAAGAAGGAGAGAAGGGGAGAAGAAAGCTTCACCGTGTAGATATAGATTCGACTGGACTTGGTCTTCTATAAGCAGAATTTCTTGCTCTTCATTAAATAAAATTGTTTGCCTCTCTCGTTAAGTTTCAAATAACATAACACGATGTGTTCTTTAGTTAACAGAATACACCCCTTTTAAAAGTTAACGATGATCTTGATAGCCTAACAAACTACTTGGAAAGGTGATTCTAGAGCAATGAAATGTAAATGAAGTTTTTAACCTCTTTAGGAATCAGATGACACATGGTAATATATGGAGTTAAATAAATGTGATGAAGTGAAATAAAAATGGCGCAGGTGTATTTGGAGGTGACAACTTAGAAGAAGACAGACGAAGCAGTGAGTAATGAGACTTCTAACAAACGAGCTGTCGGTTGGAGTAATGTTTATTTGTTGTTTCCTTCTCATTTAAAACTAGAAATTTTTTTCTTTTTTTATTTATCATTCTCTAAATTTTGACTTAAGAAAACACAGCTGCCAAAAGACATAGTCATCTTAAACAATGACTTTTATGAAGATCTAATATATACAACAATGATCAAGTCAATGGAATTTTTGAGTACGTTATTTTCCTGGCCTCTTTTCAACATTTTTTTCCCTTTATTTCTATTCCATACATCATTACATTTTTTTCAATATCCTTTTTTAAAAGGCAATCTCATGGTTGTTCATTTTTTTTCAACATCACAAAATTTAGGGCCTGGAAAAACCTCATAAAGCAGTTACTTCCTCCAATTTTACTGATAAGATTATTTTAAGCCACAAACATATTAAGATGCCACATCTTTCCCACTACCCATATGAAATATGATTTAGATTAGAGTCTTGTTTGTATAAAGGTAATAAATTTGGAAAAAGACTTTTTCTAACTATTCTAATAAGACACCAAGATCAAGAGCATTGCTGTTTATTCCAGACCCAAGGATTCCTGTTCCCTGTAGGACATCTGATTCTATGTACATGACAAGCTCAATTTGTCCCACATTTGTACACACATCTTTTATTTTACCACACTTTCATTATTAACCTGTTAGTTCCAAGTTAAAACAACTTTTTTTCCAATATGAATAGGATTCCTGGGGCCATATTTTTTTAAAAGGAGAGAAGATGAAAGGATTCCCCTTGGAAAAGAAAATACACTTCCTTTCTTTTGATTCCTCACCCCATCCCCCCAAGAAACACCCAAATCAAGTACTTTGTTTACTTGTAGTGAGGCGAGAATTAGACTGAATCAGAACTAAGCTTGAGCGTTTGTGTTTGGGCAGCTTAATGTGGCTTTTTATAATGAAATAAATAAGAAACCCCAATTATTGATCCCTACACACTGGTTCCTACAAAGTAAGTAGAGGAAATATTTCCATTAGACCAAGATTAAACCTAGTTTTCCAGTCTCTGCTTACCAGTTCCACATGTGGAGATGACCCTGCAGAAATGAGACATGATCCAAAGAATACCCAGCTGCTCCGTGGGTTAGCTCTCTATCTGTTCTAACCAACAATAGCAATAATAATAGCAACCAGTTGTTGAGCACGTACTAGGTGCCAGACACCTTGCTACATAACTTGCATATATCATTTCATGATTCTTACCCACCTCAGAAGAAGACATTATTGTCCACATTTTGCATAAAGGCTCAGAGATATTAAGTAACTAACCTAGTTCCCACAACTAGAAAGTGGTAAATCTGAGGTTCAGTACAGTTGGTCTGACTCCAAAAGATAAGATAAAGCAACTTGGGACATAGGCACCTCCTGCCTCAGCAGGGGCTTTTGAAAAACCACAAACAGATTAGATTTGCCTCAGATCCGATCTGAGGAGCCTGCTGCTCCTTGAGCTACTCATCTGGTTTAAGAAGCCAGCAGCACCAGGCTCCCATTCCTTGCCTCACAGCAGGAACCAAATCCTCACACCATTAAACTTAGACTGCTGAGAAGAAAAGGCTGTTGTACAATAGACATAATGTTTTTAAGCTTTCAGAAAAATAATTAAAGATTTTCAGGGTCAGGAAGAACTAATTTTAATTAAGAGTGCTTCCAGTTTCCATACCAAGGTTAGCTTCGACACAGTTTCCAGCTCCCAGACCCCCAAACCCCCGTGCTCCCTGGTCCCCTTTGATCATCGACCACACCGCAGGTGGAGCACTGACGGTGACCCCTAGGACCCAACACAAGCCCAGCACGGGCATCTCTGGAGAGGGAGAGTGAAAGAAACCAACCCAGAGCAATACAAAGGGAGCCTTCACTCTCTCTTGCTCCTCCTGCCTTCCACCAACAAGGCAAACGAGGCACTCTGCCTCCACAGGGAGAAGACCCACAGGAGACCAGCAGGTGCCACACTTGAGACAATGAGCTTTACATTTCCAGAGCTAGCTTGTTCCAGTCAAAACAACGTTCAACCCAAAGGCGATTGGCCACCCCCTGAGAAATAAATACAGACGGGAGCAATCAAAGAGGAAGCAGGTAACGCTGGAAATGCAATGGTACAAGACTGCGAGGAGTGGTGCCCTCTATCCAGTTCTAACGGTGAGTGACCAGAAGGTGCAGCCTCCTTGGGGCTTCATATCGCTCAACACGCACTCCGTCATTTCACTACAGGCAGTAAGCAGCCTGAGGAACTCACATCGCTACTCGGTGCCACCTCACTTTCCTTTCTATGATTCTGTCTACATCTACCAATCCATCTGAAAGAGATAAAAACTTTATTTAATTCAGCTAGGAAGTTTCAAACAACTGGTTTTTTTTTTTATAACCCTTCCTATTCAACTGAACTATTCGGTTGTTTTAGGGTTTTTTTATATACCAATTTGCCTATATGTGTTTTGTTTTTCTATCTTTATTTTCCACATACCGGTTTACTCACAGAACTTTGGTCAACCCGTTGGAATTCAGATACAGAGATCTGACCGCAAGAGGAGACCACTGTGAGTTAAACAAAGCGCTTGATGCTGACTGTTCCACGAGGCCCTCCCACACAAGTTCTTTGTGGCTGGAACCAAAATGCCCATGCCCACATTCTTCTCTGGAAATTACAGTGGTCTTCTGGTCTTTTCACTCCAGTGACCACACACACACACACACACACACACACACGCAGCCCTCCTCTGAATTCTCTGTGGCTTCACGTGCCCCTAAAAACCTCCATCCCTTTGCCATCTTGTAAAATGGTACCCCCACCTCTCATGTCCTTTCACTTCACCAGTGGTGACCTATGGTCCCTGTGGGTGACCATCACTAAGCGGCAATGACCCACACAGAAGCCTGATCCCTTCCTCCTTAAGCACATGGTCTGATATCAGTTTGGGATGGAAATTCCTTGTACCAAGAGAACTTGACTTTACATCTAACCCAAATGCAGACCAGTTTCTCCTCACTGACGTATCAGTGCACTTAGCAAAATTCTTAAAATTCTTGTTCTTAAAATTCATATATTCTATTAGCATTTAGAATATGCAGATAGACTTAGCATTCAAGAAAAAAACAGAAATGAATTCACTGAAGAGAGTAGAGCTAGAAAGACCCTCCCTAGGTGGTTAAATCAAGATCTCTGTATGCAGGAGTAATCGGGAAAAGTGAATGAGTACATGCCATTTCCTGGGCGAGGACGGTCCCTCCCTCTAATCCATGACCTGATCACCTTCCCTCCAACTCTCAAAACTCATTGCTGGGAGCCTCTGCTCTGGAAAACTCCTCTAGCTTGGCTTACATGCCTTCCTACATGTGTGCACAGCCCGCGTAGCTTTTTTAGATGAACACATACCACACTCTATCAAGATGTCCAAGTATACTCAAAGCAGAGACTGCCTTTTTTCCAATATCCCCAATACCTACCAAGGTGCCTGGCATTGAGCAGGTGCTCAATGAATGCATACTAAATAAAAGATTAAATCATCACCTAGTGATCTACTACCCTCAACATCTTACTTTTCTATTGCCTTCCTCTTTCTCTATTCTTTCTTCATACATTAACTGAAGTTCTCAGTCCTGACTACACATAAGAGTCATCTGGGAAGCTTTCAAAAAAATATCTCTGGCCTTATAACCAGAAATTCTGACTCAACTGACCTGCCATGGGATCTGGGCACAGGTGTTTTCAAAAAGGAATTTCACTGTGAAGCCTGAGTGGAGAGCCACCCTGTAACTCTTTTCTGTCTTGGTCTCTCCCTTAGGTATTTCCTACCCACAAAAGCTTTCATTTTTCTTCTGCTTGTTAACTTATGTTCATGTTCAGAGACCCTGCACACAAGACACGAATTACCCCTCTGTGTAAACTGCCCTTGAAACATAAAGGAACAGACATTGTGGGGAGTCTAATCCACAGAGGGTTCACTTGGCTTCCTTTCACATGTCTCTTAAACTGGATGTAGCAGCAGCAAGATCTGACATTCATCATGTTTACTCAGAATTGGGCGCCACAAAGAAAGCTGTCTTACCCAGAAGAATGAGCATAACGCCAGCCAGCTGAGCCCTCCTGTACTTGGCCACACCAGGCTCATGGCCCATTCGGATGCAGGGGAGAACTGTCAGCAGCAGGAGAATGGCCGGCAGACCCAGGACTGAGGCTGCAATCATCAGGGCTCGGCAGGCCTGCACATAGCCTGGACGCAAGAGAGCAGACAGGGTGGGTTAAACCAAGTATCCCCTTGGATCCTGAATCCTGCCTCACAGGATTCAGCACTACTTGCCTCCCTCCCTCTTGCCCATTCCAGGATTTAGAATGTGTTAAGTGTTGTCCATGATCACTTCACAAGTCCAACTTTTAAAGTGACTCAGTGACAGGAAAGGGAGATTGAGGGCTAGAGAGACTGAATAGAGATCCCTGGTATATACCACTTGTCCAAGCTTCCAGGATGAAGAGGCCAAGAGTCCAATTACATTATTATATCACCTTGTGAAAGATTCAGAAAAAAACTCAAATCTTTCAAGAAGTCTTCTGTGATGGATGGGCTGTTGGTTCCAGTCTGCTGTTAATATACTCTACTTGTGCGACCGTGGGCAAGTTACTGAAGTACTGTTTTGACATTTTCCTCATTTATAAAGTAAAAATAATAATAGTACCTACATCTCTCTAATAGAATTCAACTAAGATTAAGTTGGTTAATTCATGCAGTGCTTAGAACAGTGCCTAGCACATGCTAAATACTCTAAAAAGCTTAGCTATTATTACTGGTGTTACTCCCTTGTCATCGCTTTTAAGGCATCTTTCCAGCCCTGGGGATTCCTAGAGGGCAGGCACCTGGAGTTAACACAATTCCCACTACAGATGATATAAACATGTAATTATGAAGGAATAAGCAAGTTGAATAATAAGAGTGAAGCAAAACTACAGGAACTTTATACTGTCAAAAACTATGCCAGGTAACAGTTTTATTAAGAAACAGATTACAATATGTGCAATATTTATGTAAAATAAAACTGACAAGATGCTAGGAGAATGTGATGGACTTAAATATATTCTCATTAAAACACTCTCCCTCCTCCAGAAAAAAAAAAAAGTTGCATTTATTACTGTCCCTTTTTGGCTTAGCATGAATTGGAGCTAGTGGCATGGCCTGGAGGCTGCAGAGTTAATGGCAAAGCGAAAAACAAGCCCCAACTCCTGCCTCACACACCAAGACTCTCTACCAAATCTGGCCAGCCTGCCCTGTGCACCAAGACCCCACGGCAACACTGTCCCCAGGAAGATATGCTTTGCCACGATTCAGACTCACAAGAGTGCTCTTCTGACCATTGCCCAGCCCCGCTTCTTCAGAACTAAGGGTAATCAATCAATCGAATATCTATTGACTAGAAGATTCCCAGAGAGGACCCACAGGAAGTCTGAGGCAGGACCTCTGACCACAGCCCTGGGCCCCCTTTGGCTTGTAGGACAGCCGAGGCTGACACAATGGAGACAGTCATCTAGAAACCGAGCTTATGAAATTCATGGCGCAGGCTGTCCACGGCCATGTCTGAAAATCAAAAGATGGAGATTGAGATCTGTTTATGTCCCTACCCAAGTGCAAGCAACGGGGAGAGCAGGACCTCCCTAAATGCACTCCCCTCTGACAGATGGTCTATGTTCAATGCGAACCACTTGGCACTGAATGCTTAGTAAACTTAATTTCAGGGAAAAGAAGCAGAGAATAATTCCATGCTTCAGTCAAAGGTTTCTACGAATATCGAGTCTGGCTTTTAATAAAAAATTATAGCTACCATTTATGGAGCATCTATTACATCAAAAGAGATTTACATTTTTTTGTCTAATCTAATGTCCAAATCAACCCGAACAATAGGGGGTTGGTTTGATTTTAATTTTCAAAAGAAGAAAACTGGGGTTCGTAGAGATTAGTAACTTGTCCAAATAACCCAGATCGTGAGCATGGGATCCAAGAGACTGACCAAGGTCTACTAATGCCAGCATTATGTGAAGCTGGGTCCAGACCTGAGTTCCCGGGGCCTTTGTCATTGTAAAAGTCGAAAATGGAGAAAAAAGATAGTGAACAAAGGACTGATATGCATTGGGCATATCTGCTATGTGTCGGTAACAGTGCTGGGTCCAAGAGAAGATGCGGAAAGAAGAACACCATCTATATCTTCCTGGAATTTAAAATGCAATAGGAAAACTGGACTTACAAATAGTGAATGATAAACAAGTCGAAATGTGCCCTGATGGAGATAAGATCTAACATCAGGGCAGCAAAGAGGTTGGGGGTGGGGGGATGGTGATTCTGACTACAAGGACTTATAGGAAGCACTTTAGGGGAACCTAGCTTAAAGGGGGAGCAGAAAGACTTATGGAAGGGAGGGGTAAGCACAAAGGGACCTGTTCCCAGATTGGGGGCCAAGTTATTCCCTTGTTAAGGAAACTGAGATATGCTTTTAAATGTGCAGGATCCACATGAGCAATCGTGTACTATAGGCCAGGGCCAATAACCCGCCGGGCAGGACAAGACAGAGATTCCCAACAGAAAACCCGAAGGGGCGTCCATGACCTCACCTATCACCCAAATGGCTCAAGGTTTAAATTTGAATTGGAACTGTTGCCCAGATTTTTGCAACGGGGCAGCAAGTGAAGATAGGGAACCCAGCCGACGTCGGGAGAGAGTAGAAGCTTACCACTATCTCCCCGCTCCTCCACTCCAAAATACTGCTGGCGGGGAGTGGGCGACCCTTGGCAGTGAGTCTTGGGGTGGGGTGGGGGAGTGTCGGCCCTCCAGGGGCGCCCGGTCTTCCCTTTGCACCGGGAGAGGTACAGAAGCAGGAGGGTTGGCAGGGCAGATGGACGCCCCAACAACAGGGGCAGGGGATGGGAATCAATAAGACGCGATCTGAGCCCTTCGGGAACCCATCTGGCAGAGCTAGAAGGTCTCTAACTTGGGCAGGACGCCTCGCCGGTCCCATGAGGACAAGGAAACTTGCCGGCATGTTTTCGTTCTCTCCTTCCTCCTCGCCTTTGCGGGTGGAGTGTAACAGGAAAGCAGGGCGTCTGCAGGAGGAGCCCGGGCCGGGAGTGAAGTATTCTAGTCAATCGACAGTGAGGGCATGCGGCAGGTGGGCGACAGGTATTACCATGGGCTGAGTTCCTACTATGCGTCTATGTCTCCGGTCATTAATTTCTCAGGGTGACTTGGCCAGTGGCCACCACTATCCTCCCCAATTCCAGGTAAGAAAACTGAGGCTGAGAGAGGTTAAGTTCGCGGCTGCTTGATTCCTCTACAACAAGGTGGGATTCAAGGTGTCAGAAACATGCCCAACAATCTTCAGGCCCTCAAAATGTTTTGTCTAGGGTCCCCTGCCCGGAGGATAAGGGTTTGGAAGCAGCCACTTGAAGGCGGGGGCCCTTACCCGGCAGGATGAGGATGTCCACCAGGGGTTTGCAGTGATAGAGCCCCGTGGCCATGACGCAGTCAGCCCACAGCCCCTTGGAGCCCAGTTCGTCCAGCTTGCGGCAGGTAGGGATGGTGTAGCCGCAGGTCACCACCCAGTCATTGGTGGACGTGGTGACGATGATGCCGATCCAACCCACGAAACTCGTGACGAAGCCCACTACCTGCAGACACGTGGCCACCATCATAGCGATCCCGGCGTCCACCCGCCTCGCCCCTCACTAGCTGTGCCCGCGTCCCGGCTGGACCGCGCCTGCCCTGGTCCTCGCCCGCCGCGCTCGCCTGCCGCTGGCCGACGGCTGCCGGATGCGGGATGCTCCAGGCGGCGACAGGTCACGAGAGGCTGCGAGCTCAGTTCCGACAACGCGACGGGCGCACGGCTGGGACAGCGACAGGCGCACGGAGGGGACTGCAGCGCGGCTGGGCAGCGCACCCCCGCCCCCCTCTTTAAACTCCGTAGACCCGGCAGGCGAGCACCAATGACAACGGCCCTGGGTCGAGCTGGCCAATCGCGAGGCGGGGTCCGGAGTTGGAAGGAAACTAAGGGAGGGGGGCGATCACCCTGCCCCGCCCCGTCGGTGTCGCGCGGTCAGTGTTGGAAAGAAAAATAATTCTATCCAGGTCCTAGAAACGCAGAGTGCCATGAGGGCTCTCGTCAGCCTCGAATTTTCTTTTGCTGGAAGTTATTTCTCTTCCTCTTGCTCCTCTCATCTCTGTCTCTGGGTCACCGCTACGCTCCATCCCTCCTCAACTTCTGTCCACTTTTTTCCCAGATGGGAGCAGGGACTGTGGGACTTGCAGGCGTACCCTGTGCAGTTCCTCCACCGCCCAGGATTTTAACTGATGAGCTGAAAACTGCCCTAAAGGAGAGACACAGACTTTCAGCATACCATAGTAACTAGTAGAAAGAAAATGATCTTTTCCCGAGGTCAAAAATCATCAGAGGCGGCCGTGGCCATGATAATGGTGAGGGTAACAACCCCACTAACTCACATTTATCCAGCTGTGCTATGTACTATGTATATGCATTTATATTTGTGTATTAACTCATTTAATTCTCATAAGAACCTTTTGTGGTAGGAATAATTGTTGACGCATAATGTGCGTGAAGAAACAGCATGATAAAGGTTAAGTCACCCAAGTTCACAGCTAGAAAGGGGTAGACTCCATGTGCGCATCTCACCACCCACCCTTCACTAACCATTCCTGGGAACCTGTCCTGATTACCATTTCCCGAAAATTCCTAAAAGGCTCACGTATCCCATTTTGACACATTAAAAGCTAGGCTGACTTCTCTAGGCTCACTATAAATAAGTTAATATCTGCATGCCAATGAGAACACTGTCTGGTCCAGAGTGCTCCACAAGTGTAAGCTATTCTCATCATCAACAGCATTAATCCATCTTCTCTCCAGTAATTCAAATAAGACCCATTGTATGCATCTTTTTTATCAGGTAGAGAAGTTCTCCTTTGGCTATATTGACATTAAATAGTTTTAACTCCTTTTATACAATTGGCTTATCTTAGTATATCTCAGTCACCAATCAAGAGATTTAAAGGTGTGAAGGATGTCACCAAGCATAAAAACTTCCTACTCAGCACTCTAAATCTAAGATAAGGATCATAAATCATAGGTACTGAGCTGCCCCATAGCTGTTCCTAATGCTGGGGCTCAGAGCAAATCACCATATCTTCTAAGGAAGACTGGCCTGAAGGAGACCTTAAATAAATGAAGTACACAAAGAAAAGGCGCTGTAATAGATCACAGAGTGTCAAGTACAAGGGCCATCATAATTATCCAGGAGTGCACAGTGGTTAAGAAGGCCAGGGTACCTGGGTTCAAATCCTGGCTCTACCATTTAACTCGTTGTGAAACCAAGTTACTTTAGTTTTCTGGGCTTCAATTTTCTGATTTATAAAGTGGGAATAAAAATAATGCCTACTTCATAGGTTTCTTGATGATTATATGAGTTAATATGCATGTAGAACTTAAAACAATGTCTGGTGCAAATTAAATCCTCAATAAACCTGGGCTAATATTATAATGTGATGATTCAGAACTCTTTGCTTTTGCACTCTTATATTTTCTTTCTGTATTCATACAAGTTTGATTTGCAGAAATTATTTTATAGGAGTATGTCCCTTTTCTGAGTGAGCCATTGTGTTTGGGGGCATTTCATCACCAGGGTCTCTTGATCTGGATGTTTTCAGATATTTTTTTTTAGAACATTAAGAGAAACAGCTTTTGTATTACTACAATATAAAATATAAAACCTAAGCAACATCATTTCACTGAAAAAGCAGTTATAATATCTGCACTCTTGTGACTCCATTAGCATTTGATATTCTAATGAGAAAAATTCAACCAATCAGAACTCAACAATGCCCAGATCACACAAGTCACATGCACAGAAGCATTTGCAAAGCCAGATTTCAGAACTCAAGCACCAAAAGATAGAGAGAGTTGTCAAGTTGTTAAGATCTTGGAATGGAACCTTCTGAGTTCATATTCTGATTTCATCATTTGGGCTGTCCCTTAACCTATGTGACTCTCAATTTCTTCATCTATAAAGGAGAAACAGCAGACACCCTCATAGGGTTATTGTGAGGATTAAGTGAGATAACTTATATAAAGTGCATAGCACAGTACTAGGCACTCATAAATGCTAGCTACTCTTAGTATTATTCATAAGCAATATAAAGCAATCAGAAACATGAGTTGCCTTTGATAGAGACTAAAGCTAAAGTAATCAACTGATTATCATTGTGTATTAATAGGAGAGAAATCATAAAGTGAATGTCTAAATGATCCCAGCACAGATGTACAAAAGGCCACTCGAAGCAGGCTGGTGGAGTGTAAACTGTTTGAATTAATATAAGTAAAGAGAGAGCATGTCTATTGAAAAGTTAAGTGGGGCAGCCAGGGAAGCACACAGAACTGGGATACAAGAAGCAGACAGAGGCCATAAGAATCTTCTACTATCCATAGGAGATGGTGTGGTGGTCCATAGACTCGAGGATAGAGAACTCTTTGGCAAGGTTCTCTATATAGTGGGGAAGTCCCTCGAGTAATCTTGGCTGTGACTCTCTGTCCCAGGCCCTTCTGTGATTAGAATCTGACTTCTTACACAGCATAACTTAACAAAATGACATTCCAGGTCTACCATCATCCCAGGCACTGTTACTTTTAAGAGTCAGTCTCTCAGGGTCCAATCACTCCAAATAAGTGTCAACAGTGGGTCCCCAGACCTTCTGGACAAAGACCTTTCCAGTAATTTTCTCTTGGAAAACTTTGCCATGCATACCATCCATCTTTTCACATTTCTGCAATATGTAACAAAACTAGTAAGCTGTACCTGAGACATGATTCCAGGTCTTCCAGTCTTAGAATCAATATTCTTCCCATTATGAAAAATGTCTTTCCTGTGGCTTAAGCATACGTTTCTTAACCTTATTCTTATTTGAAGATATTTTAAAGGGGAAGATTAGAGAGCCAGACAGTGCCCTAAACCCCAGATGCATACTAAACAAAGGAAACAGCCTAGTTAACTGTTTTTCTACTATTTACACCTAAAAATAGTCAATCGAACTAACATATGATTCAGTTAGAGAGCTGATCTACATGGTACTGGCAAAAGTGTTTTCTGGCAAGCATTTAAAGCCTATATTGAAAGCAAAGATTGGGCTAAAGGAGTGGGCTCGCAGTGACTACTAGTGGTTGTCTTTTATCATTGCATGGCTGGTAAAACATTTCTGTATAAAGGGGCCCATGTCTTACAGAGAACATGACTGACTGCAACTTCCCACATTCCACATGTGGGACTGTTAGACCCAAATGAAGTGTACATTGCTCTTTGAAAACTTTCTTCATATATTTAGAAAGGTGCATCTCTTTAGGAAACCAAACATGAAAACAGGACTTACATGAAATTACTTAGGTGAGATTATTCATTTAAAAATAAAGCACTTTTAATAAGACTCCCATTTAAAAAATAAATCCTTTTAGTGGACTTTAATATTTGATAATTCAAAAATTTAACATACACACACATTTTTAGAAATATCGTAGTACAAATTCTGGATGTTTTCAGATATTCTTATTTGTAGACATTTTAAAGTGGAGGATTAGAGAGCCAGTATACAAATGTATCAAACATAGACTTCAAAAATGACATGATCTGTGAGTTTTGGGTTTTGTCTGTTTTGCTGACACTGACATCTCTGTGTGGCACAGTGCCTCGCAAACATAAAGACACTCGATACACATTTGTTCAAGGAGCTTAACTAAAGAGTTCAAAAAGAAAGAGAGAGATTGAATTTGCAAGCCTCCAAGTTTCACTAGGATGTTGTCTTTGTTTGTTTGGGCTGCAATAAGAGAATACCACAGACTGGGTGGTTTATAGACAACAGACTTATTTCTCACAATTTTGGAGGCTGGAAGTCCACGATCAAGGCACAAACCAGCAAATTCAGTTTCTGGTGAGAGTCCTCCTCCCGGTTCATAGACAGCAGTCTTCTCCCTGTGTCCTCACATGGTGGAAGGGACAAGGAAATTCTCTGGGGCCTTTTTTACAAACACATTAATCTCATTCATGAGGGCTCCATCCTCATGATCTATTCACCTCCCAAAACTCCACCTCCAAGCATGATCACATCGGAGATTAGGTTTCAACAAATGAGTTGGGGGAGATACAAATATTCAGAAAAGGTGCAGAATAAATCAGAAGGTGGGAATTAGAACTGGTCTAGGAGTGAGCAGGAGACCAAGCGAAGGTCTTTTGTTGTCTTGGGTACCCAACTGTTGTCTTCGGTACAACAGAGCCATCTCCAATCAAAGGAAAGTGTGCTGCTCAGGTCTCAAGCAGAAAAGTCTGATCACCTAGAGACGCTGGTCTCAACCACAGTATCTCCACCAAAAGAAGAGCAGCACCTTCTCAAGTTAATTCCATTTAGAATTGCGAATTCAGCTACTCTGGGTGAAAAATTGCCCTTTCAGGGTTCCATTTCTTGACCTTTATGTTTCAATTGTAATACCATTCCTTTACAAGCCATTTTATTCCAAATTTCCCCTCCTTCAGTGTGAAGATAAAGCAAAATAATGAAAAGCTTGCACCTGGAATGTTAGGTCTGAGTCCTTTCTAGAATGTTTTTTCTCTCTTCTGCCTTCAAACAGACAATTCTATTTATCTGTTTCTCGATGAGCAGTTTCAGAATACACTGGATTATATCGTATCTAATTCAGCCTATAAGATCATACTTCCTGAGGAACAATAAAAGTCATTTTTAGTTCAAACTTGAAATGATATTTTCCAAAAATATAATAGTAATAAAGTAACGAAAGTAAAAAGAAAATTAACTAGAAAGCCACACCATTGAATTCTCTTAGAAAT